AAATAATTATAATTATAATTTTTAATTTTAATAGACAATATTATTGCCGTGAAGATAACTTAATTAATAATTATATAACGAATATGATTCTTTAATTTATAATTATTTATTAGATATAAATTGTTTGACTATTATTTTGTTATTAGCTATTATTAAATTTATGCTAATTGTTAAGTAATTGTTAAAATTACCTACGTGTTATACCGAATTTTTTTTTTAAATAATATATTTTTCTAATAAATAATAATTACAGGAATAAGGTAGTGATTATTTAAAACAACTATTGTGGCAGTAGGATTGTATTGAGTAAGAATGAGATGGAGGTGTTAATGACAACGACATTAACAATAACGAGATTAAATTAAGGTAGTAGTGATAATAGTTGTCTGTATATGTGATTAGTGTGATATTATTATTGGGTTGGTGTAACTCACTATTTCATTAATTATTTCATAAAAAGATGACCAATATCCAGATCTCGATCAACAAGAGGGTTGTGAGTAGTTCACTATCCGAACTTCCTTCAAGTGCTAGTGAATGTTGTCTTACGATGTTTAATTATTCATTTTTTGCTTTATTCGTTTAATTTCCGTTTATATTTTATGAGAGACGTTCCCGTAATCCTATTGAGCATTCAAAATTATTGTATAAAAAATGTAAACTCTAACTCTATTAATCGCTTCCGCATTTAATTTATGAATTTATTTCTATTTAAGTTTCAGACATTTATATTATCTCAGTCGAAGGGGGTTGAGAAGTCTCATACTGGAAAGAGTTGGGAAATACTTGTTCACCCTTATTACTAGACAGGGTATTGAGACAGTGATACATTTGACGGCCATTACTGGACGGGGTATGAGAACGACGGAATAATTTATAAATTGGATATTAGGTTTATGTGTAGTGGAAACATCTACGGACCCCTAGAGATACCAGTCAGTAAGTAAAAAGTAAAGTTTGATTATTGTTGTTTATTAGAATATCTAATGAATTGCTATCTTGATTTTTACATTCACAAGTCATATTTGAGAACCTAAAAAGTGAGTATGAAACTAACGTTTTTAAAATTAAATGAATTTACCTAAAAATGAAATAACTCCATTAGTTATTTTGCGATTTTTATCAATCTTTAATTTTCCGTACCAGTTATAAAATTTTGATATTGTTATTGGGATAGTGTAGGTCATACCCCTTATTTGACAATTTCATATCAGGACAACTAAGATTCAGATATTCACCAAGCGCACTGTGAAGCCGTGTTCGGACCCCGAAACGAGTAAGGACCCCTCACCCTATTTTCCTATCACGGTATTAAAGTTTAAAATGATAAAACGATATTCCTTGAATTAACGAATGTGTGAAATTGCTTAAGGTGGCTAATGGAGCCCGAGTCTAGTGTGATTGGTGATTTACTGTTATTTGGCATGTTTACAGGTTTAAATGCAAAATGAGGTTTGGTGTGTTCATTTTACAGATTTGTGTGCATATACTACATTTTTATTAATCATGGGTTGAATGACTGAAAAACTGATATTGTATGTTGTCTGTTTGGCATGAATTACGATTTGCTCGTTTAAATGTGAATTGATGATGCTGACTGAGGAAAAGGAAAATGAAAGATTGTGTAGACTGATAATTGTATTATGGGGGTCAGCCTGACTAGATATCCTGGGAGATGGTGGACGGACCGGGTCCGTAGGGAACCCTACCGGGATTGTGGTCTCACATGCCGGACGGGGTATGGAGATCTTATGGTTTTGGCGCCCATACCGGACGGGGTATGGGGACGGCCCGTTTCACCCTCATACCGGACGGGTATTGAGGTTTATGGTTTTGGCGCCCATACCGGACGGGGTATGGGGACGGCCCTGGAAACTGATTATGAATGTTAAAGGTTAACAGGTAGCGGGACCCCTATGGACCCCCACGGATACTAGTAGGCTGGTAAATGAGAAAAAGATATGTTGTACAATGATTGAATTACAAGAGGCGTGATAAGTGTTATGTTTTACAGCTTATATTATTCCATGATTATGATAATGTTATGTTTTTCTTATATTGTTTTCATAAATTCCACCGAGGTAAGTGGATGGAAAATATTTTTATGTTAATAAGCGAGTTTGTTGTAAATTATGCTCCATTGGTCTTTTTGTGTTTTCTACCCACCTTTACCTCCGTGACAGTGAGATATCGTGATGTTCTTACTGGGCTAGTGTAGCTCACTCCTTATTTAACCATTTCAGATCAGGAAGACATGGTTCCCGAGCCCGTTCCGCAGGAGGACGACGAAGGGGATGCCTAGAGACTCTATAGTCATGCTCATAGCTTTGTTTTCGAGTTTCTCTTTTAGTTAGTTTAACATTTTTATAATTTAAGTACGTTTTTGGTTTTTCGTGTAAGGGATGTTAACTGAAATTTTGATCTCGCTTCCGCATTTGATATATTTAAATACTCATTTCATTTTAATATTTCTGGGGCCGTTACAGTAGGTCATACCCTTTATTTAACAATTTTAGATCATGACAACTAAGATTCAGATCTTGAACAGTAAGAAAGTTAACGATTCAAGGTTGCCTCTCGTTTTCCATCAGTTGCGCTGCGGAGGTCGACCCTATAGGTTGCTAATTACATTTTTCTTTATGTTATGTTAACTTTCTTCAATGGACATTTCCGTAATCCAATTAGACATTATGATTAAACTGTGTAAGAAATATAAACCCTAAATTATTAATTGCTTCCATTAATACTTTATTAATTCAATATTATCATTTAATTAAATGTTGGGTTATTACAACTCAAACTCACGATCTCTTGACGAGAAAACGACATGTCAACCATTAAGCCAACATTTAATAAAATAACACAAATAACATTCACACAATAACACAATATAACTCGAATTTACGATCTCTTGTAGAGAATGACGTATCAAACCATTAAGCTAATGTTTAATATTCTTGTTACGTGAATAGATTTATCAATTAAGTAATATACATACACTAATTATAATACAATAAGAATAACATTTAAACAAAAATACATATAGGAGCACAACCCCACTCGAATTCCGTGATGGGTAATATTATTTATCATCATAAAATAATTTAGGATAAAAACGTATACTTTTTTATAACTACACATTGTAATATAACGAAATGAAAATTTAAATAAACTATGTGCAAATTTTAGTATATTTAGCACATATATATATATATATTTCCAATTTCAATCATATCAATTTGGCTACTATCAATGGCAAAATTCTCAATACATTTTCTTAATGGGTTATAAAATTAGTGTTATATAAGTGAATTTGATTGAATAAATTGTTTTAAAATTTTTAAATTTATTTTTTAAAATATGAATATTTATCCCATTAATTCTTAATGAATAATTATAAAATGCAGTATTTTTTTAATTTAAAATTTTATTTTTTTTATTAACTTACTATTTTGTAGTGTAAATATTTTTAAAAAATAAATAAATAAATTATAAAATAAAAACTTACTCTTTAGAATTTAATTTAAAATGGAGAAAATTTGGAGCGGTCGTTAAGAGAGTAAAAAAGGAAAAGGGATAAAAGATCTGCAGAAGGATGAGTAGGCAGAGATTTGTCTGTTTGCAGAGCAGGGAAGAATCGCCATTATCATCACCATCCCTATCATCAACCCTCTCTCGTTCTCTCTCTCTCTCTCTCTGCAACACAAAAATTCAAGAAAAGTAAAAAACTCGCACGCAGAGATCGTTTCTTATTCTCAATTGGCTTTTCAGCTCAGCCAAAGGCCATTTTCAATATACTCGCCAACGCTTGTTTCTTCTTATCTGGTTCGTCTTCAACTTTTTTTTTTTCTTTCTTCTCTCTCTCAATCATTCATTAGCTTTTAAATATGTAAATAGATTAGTATGTTATCATCTTCATTGATTGACTTTCCGTTGACGTTTTCTCTGCTTGTTCCTTTTTTCTTCTCTTTGAAAGTTGAAACTGAGCTCATTCTTTCGTATTTCCAATTTTATTGATTCTTTATTTTTTTTTTTCCGGGGGGAGAATTAGTAAATGTTGAAATTTCTGTAACTTTCTTGGTTTTTCTTTAAGGCAGAGTTGTTTCTTGAACTTCTTTTTCTTTAGTACCAGTTGCGATTATTATAACTTGCATGTTGAAGCGGTATTTATTTATTTAAGGATTGCAGGAAAAGATTCCTCGTGAGATTATTTTTTAAGTTTAATCTCACTTTTGTTCTTTTCTTGTCTTTTCTTGTACTACATATGGTTTCGGGGGCTTTCATGAGGAAATAGCTGTTTTTCTTTTTCTTTTAAATTCTAAATTGATCTGAGTTATTACGAAAGGAGGCGAGTTGTTTGGCTGAAGAAGATTTCAGATTTTGAGGTTAATGCTCTTTCTTGTTTAATTATGCATTGGAAGCATGTTGGAACTCATAATCTCCATTTCTAAGTTTTGATCTCTGTAAATGGCTGCTTGATTTGGTTTGATGGGCTTTGTAGTCTTATTCTTCTCCTAGTTGTTTTGTAGTTGGACCTAAGGGTAGTTTTTCTTTGACTAGAAATTCAGGTTCAGTAAAATTTTAGTTCAATTTTTTTTGTGCTGTCTTCTTCTGTTGTTGGCAACTTGGCATTCCCAAATTTTAGAATGTGTAAGAATTTACTAATTTCTTGATATGGTGGTATATCAGGAACAGTGTCGAAGTACTTATAGCAGCAAAGATAATCATGAGTCAACCGAAAGTTAAGCGTCGGGTTGGTAAATATGAGGTTGGAAGAACAATTGGTGAAGGAACATTTGCTAAAGTGAAGTTTGCTAGGAATTCTGAGACTGGGGAACCTGTGGCTCTGAAGATCCTTGATAAAGAGAAAGTTCTAAAGCACAAGATGGCGGAACAGGTTTTCTTATGGTCCTTCCTATGTTTAAAGGAAAATTTCAGAGTGTGCTAGATGTGTAGGAACATGAGATTCACGTAACCAACATTATCATTGTGGCATGTTTATATGCTGATATCTTAGTTTTCTCCATTGATGCAGATCAAGAGGGAAATAGCAACTATGAAGTTGATAAAACATCCAAACGTTGTCCAATTATATGAGGTCTCTCTCTCTCCCCCTTTCTCTTTCTCTCTATATCTCTCTTTGTTCTCGTTGCTTGTTCAATTCACTTTTCATTTCTTCTACATTCTCATATTCTTTCTCACTGCCCTTTTCAAAAATATTTTGTTCCTAGTATTTTTAATTAAAAACTGCTGACTGGACTTTCAGCTTCTAAACACTCAGTTCAGTCACCTTGTAACTTTATATTACTTGTTATCTGATACCAATAATGGGAGATATTTGGCTTCCTGACCTGATGCATTCATTTCTAATCTGATGTTTATACTTGCACATATACACTAGAAAGTTGTTGATATTGGTGAACTTTTATTAATCTTACTTAGGTTTGTGTTTTAGAAATTTGGTTTCAAGAGCTGTCTTTATATTCATATCTATTTTCTTTGATCAATTCCACAAATATTTCTATCCTGGTTTTCATATTCGGTCATTTTCCTCTCCTTAATAGGGTTTAAGTTGTAAGCACCAAAACTAATTGAACGCCTTCCTGTTCGTTTGTTTAAGCTTAACTCATGTAGTTTGGTCTTGGCTGCCTTGTTTATAGTTAAAAAATATTCAACGTATTATGTGGTAGGTGTGCACTTCATCAATACTTGAAGCTTGATGAACTCTTGTGCAAGGGGAGCATGCTGAAGTATATACCTTACTAATATCTTTTCTTATTAGCATAGGCTTTGAAGATAATTTGGCTATCCTACTTAATTATTCAGATGGTTGAGGTGGAAACTGGTGAACCCAGGAGCTCTAGCAAGAAGAGAGAAATTAGGAACATCCAGAGGGACTTCAAAGAGACTTGATCTTACCATCTTTGGGGAATTATATTGGTTATCTCCTTGGTTTCAAAGAAGTTATTATACTTAGGCCTACTTCTAGATACTATCTTATGATACTTGAAGTACATAGAAATGGGGTCAAGCACATTTTGAGTTCAAGAATGTGGGTCAAGGTTGATTGTTTCAGTTATCTAGTTTTGGGCTGGTGGAGCAAGACTGTCATGGAAGTCTCTGATTATTGGAATGTCACTATTGTTGAAATAAAGGATAGGATAAACAAACAGTAACAAGAAGACTAGGAGGCTATTGTGATTGTTTCTTTCTGAAAAATGAGAAGTAGACTTTTATAAGTATCAGTAGAAGAATGAATTTATTAGTGAGGAAGCTGATTGTAATGTGAAAGAGAGGGAGGAGGTTATTTTTGGGCAATAAGGGCAAACAAAGGTGGTGCAAATAGGGAGATGGCTGATGGCTTCTCTGGAGAAAATCTCTTAAAAGTAAAAGCAAAAATCTTGAGCTTTATGGTGAAGGAAAGGAGAATGAAGTGTGCTTTTGCACTAGGTACCAACTTCAATAAAAGAAGTAATTTTATGATTGAAATCTAGAGCTTTATGGTTAAAGGAAGGGGAGTGGAATGACAAAGTTTTCACTCAGTGATTAACTTGAACCGAAGAAGCAACTGGGACTAACCGATAAAAGGAAGGCATTTTAGATCAGTTAAGGTTTAAGAGGGGCAGTATCAGCTTATATGAGGAGCTTTACTAGGGTTGTGTTATTCGATACCCCTTTTTTGATGGTTTGGCTTCAAAAGGAAATAAGGAGGAAGATGAGCTCCAACATGTGCTTTTAAGGAGGAGGACATTTGGATGATTCTTGAGGGGTTTTTGCAGGGTAACCCCTTCTATGATCCTTTCTCCCCTCCTTTTTATTAACATGCTCTTTAAAGCTTCCATCACCAACATGAACAATGAGGAGAAAGAATCCTCTTTTCCTGAAGCCAGCCCCTAGAAGCTCTAAAAGCAAAGGTCAGCACCCTTGCACTTCAATTACAGAAGAGTCTTATCCAATGCATTTCCACAATCAAGAGCACATTGACTTTAAGGTTGAAACCCATTTTTTTATTGAATGCAATGCTTCCATTACTCTTATTCTATTCTCAGGCTCCGTAGTTAGTGATTTGATTGGCCTTTTCAAATGATATTAGATGATTTGATTCTAGCAACTAAATTTTACTCCACTAGTCCTGAATATTTGTTTGTGCCTGCAGATTTTCAGTCTTGTGATTTGTACAAGTTGTATATGGCATTTTGCTAAGGTTTAGACTGTACAAAGGCAGTCTTTGCATAATAAAAGAATGAACAGATGGGCATTTCAAATACTGCCAGCTAATAACTGCCTTTTTTATCTTAAGGAGTCGGGCTGTCTTTTCTTTTTCTTTATGGGTACATATGATTATATTGACATGTTACTTCTGAAGAGGTGTAAACCAGCAACATGATGTCAACTATCTTGATACTTTCTTCTGTAGACGGATGTTCGCATGTGGAATGAAATCTGCATTATAGAACTGACTTAAGATTTTTGAATTCTTTTGCTGAAGAGTGAGAATTATTAAGTATTCTTATTTTTTGCAGGTGATGGGAAGCAAAACAAAGATTTTTATTGTTTTGGAGTTTGTTACTGGGGGAGAGCTCTTTGACAAAATTGTGAGTTCATGATTCATATTCTAGAAGGCTTTAAATTTGTCAACTTCCTCAATCCTCTGTATAGATTACTTAACTTTAAAATTACAAACCCAATTTGACTGGCCCTGAATCTTATCATTTGCTGCCAATATGAATGCATTCATCTCTTCTTTAAAGAAACTACATTTGGTGATTGTGGACTATAATGGAATGACACACACATATACAGGGGCATATCCCTCCATTCTTTACGGGAACCATATTTCTTTGAGTATACTGCTCTCATCTTGAAACTGAAGCAAAGAAAAAAAGCCTTCCTTTCATGTTGTTCTGCCCCTTTGATGAGTACTTTTTTTAAGAGCAGCAGTACTTACCTGATGGATAGCATCCACAAGATATAATAACCTAGAGTGTATACTTCTTTTGAGCTCCCCATAATCGTTGCCTGCTTGCCATATCTTTTGATGGGAAACTCTTTCAAATGTCAAGGTAAATCATGGACGAATGAGAGAAGATGAGGCACGGAGATATTTCCAGCAGCTTATTAATGCTGTGGATTATTGCCATAGCAGGGGCGTGTACCACAGAGACCTCAAGGTAACTATTTCTAAGACCATCTAAATACAAAAGTTTGTAGATTGTAGCATTCTTCAATTCCCACTCCACCCATCCTTCCTTTTTCCACATGAAATAGTTTCTTAATGTAGACCTTTATCTTGATCTATTGCAGCCTGAAAATTTGCTTTTGGATGCATATGGAAACCTTAAAGTTTCTGATTTTGGATTGAGTGCACTGTCTCAGCAAGTTCGGGTAATGATACAGTTATCGTTTCTGATAGTGCAAGTCTTCTTTTATTTTTTCATTGTCCATCACCTTTTCAGTTCACTCACTTTCTTGGTACCTTTATTTCTTATTCTTCGTGTTAAATGTTGGTAACTTGATAGGATCTGCCACAGGACTTGCGATGGTGTCTTATTTCCTTTCAAGCTTTCTCTGTTTTACTGAATCGAGACAAATGATCATGCATATTTTCCTTGTCGAGGCACCCTTTTCAATCATGCTGCTCTAGCAAAAGTTACAGACCATAGGATGACCTTTCATGTCTTTATATATAGACCAAATTTATTAAGTCAAAGCAAAAATCTAATACTCATGCATTGGATTTCATTTTTCTAATGAACAATATTCAAAGGACAAGAATATTTGAGGACTATCTTTTTGCATATTGGAACTATAGACTAATTTCTTGTTACCTCTCTCTCTGTGTCTCTGTGATTTACAATAAATTTTGAAACCCTAAATGATTGCATTGTGTGATTAAGGCTTATTTTTGGATCTCTTAAATTGCTTTTAGAGGATGTGAGCTTATATTTCCTTACAAGGTTATTTTGACAGGATGATGGGCTCCTTCACACTACCTGTGGAACTCCAAACTATGTTGCACCAGAGGTGTGCTTGATTAGTTCATTAAGCTCCACTTTCATCAATGTGCCGGCCCTTTTCAAAACCTCTGTTTAATACATATGTTACTGTATTGTCTTTCTTTTAGGTGCTTAATGATAGAGGCTATGATGGTGCAACTGCAGACTTGTGGTCATGTGGAGTGATACTCTTTGTATTGCTTGCAGGGTACTTGCCTTTTGATGATTCTAATCTTATGAACCTTTATAAAAAAGTGAGCATTTTGTAAATTTCATACTGCAGTTCTTCTACTATCTCGATCTTCTGGTATTCCCTCACTTTAATCGTATGCAGATTTCAGCTGCTGAATTCACTTGTCCTCCTTGGCTCTCTTTTAGTGCCATGAAGTTGATAACTCGAATATTGGATCCCAACCCTATGAGTGTAAGTTATCATATATGTATATTTTGGAATTTAGAGAGAAACTGAACTTCTTGTGTATTGACGAGCATATATAGGAACATATATGTGGCTGTGTTTTTTGGGAATGAAAAGTGTGATTAATGTATATATATGGCTGTTACAAGGAGAAAATAGGAAACTCAAACAAATCAAATCTCCACATCAGTAGGACCCGTAACTGCTATCACATCTTTAGGAAGATTAATTTCCTAATATTAAGACAGAAAATTAAGTGATACTCTCCCTCAAGTTTGTAAACATGCATCTTTCATTCACAACTTGGAGATAAGTCCTTGGAATGTTGCTCTACTGAGTCTTTTAGGTTAGTACCTTTGCAAGTTGACCATTAATTGAGATGTTGGAATACAAATCAATCAACTCTGTCTCTTTTCTTTATGAAGTGTTTATCCACTTCAATGTGCTTCGTTCCGTGTATTGTTGTATAAGATTGTCAATAATGTTTGTCAGTTGACCATTAATTGAGATGTTGGAATACAAATCAATCAACTCTTTGACTCTTTTCTTTATGAAGTGTTTATCCACTTCAATGTGCTTCGTTCCGTGTATTGTTGTATAAGATTGTCAATAATGTTTGTAGCTGACTTATGTCACAAAATAATCTCATTGACGCTTCCCATCCATTCTTTATTCCAAAATTATCTAGAGCTATAACAAATTCAGACAGCCCCCAGGCCATCGCCCTTGAAATCTGCTCTGCACTTGATATAGCAACCACATTATGTTTTTTAATCCTCTAGCTAACAAGTTTTCCCTCCAAATAAAGTAGAATAACACATAGCAACACCGCCCAATAAACTGGTGGCTTGCATAGTCTGCATCGGTGTATGTCTCAAGGACTAACTTGATGTTTTTTTTTTTAATAGACTTTCTTTACTAGGATTAGCTGTTAGATAATGTAGTATTCTATGGACTGCATACTAAGATTAGCTGTTAGGTAATGTAATATTCTATAGACTGCATGAAGGATGGACCTGTATTAGGTTGTGCATAAATTGGTTACCAATGTCACAGTATTTTGTTTAATCAATGTCGAGATAGGTTTACATGCTAACTATCCTGTCTCTCTTATTATCTCGAATTCTGTAACTACGCGGCATCTTCCCAAATGCTTCCCGTCACAATTATGCCATCTTATTCCTACTTAGCCACGTTAAAATAGACGTGCAAGAGTAAAATTAGTTCAATTGTGAATCAAATATAAAATCTGATCCAGTCCTGCATGTAGTTGTACTCCTCAAGTGATGTTATATCTTCATCTAAATCCAATTTATGTACTTAGACCTTCACAAGAAAGCTGGTGCTGACCTTCTCAAATTAAAATTTGTTGCTCTTACTAATTCAGTTCACATCATTAATCTCATAATTTCTTTGGCAGCGTATTACTATACCTGAAATTTTGGAAGATGAATGGTTTAAGAAAGATTATAAGCCTCCTGTGTTCCAGGAGACAGAAGAAACAAACTTGGATGATGTAGAAGCTGTTTTCAAGGATTCAGAGGTCAGTCAGAAAATTATTCCTCTAACTTTGGGAAATTTTGTTATTTTCATAAAAAGAAAGTCTAGTAAATGTCCTTAGCATTGTAACAGGAGCACCATGTAACAGAAAAGAAAGAAGAGCAGCCTGCAGCCATGAACGCGTTTGAGTTGATTTCTATGTCTAAAGGATTAAATCTTGGGAATTTATTTGATGCAGAACAGGTTTGTATGTCAAAAAATGATCTATCTTACAATTTAAAGGATGTCATTGAAGAGCTGTAATTATCTTTTCTTAAATATTTCACTTTATTTTCAGATAAAGGATCTTCACTAGTTTGTCTAATATAATTTCTTATTCGGAAAATCAAATAGGGGAATTATCATGCCAGAACAGGATATGTGAAGTTGACATGAAACTTGTGTTGTCATTTGATTGTTTGAAAAAGAAAAAGCCATTTTATTGTTGAAAATACATTTGGCCTTTTCTTCTCACCAGTTTGAAACACTTACATTGGAAATCATGAAAATTGTGACTTCAGAAACTGAAAATGTACCATGTAAACCTGACTATTGAGCATTCTCTGTAGAAAAATTAACTTGGTGGCACCATTATATTTGTTCAATCAATCACATAAGAATACATGTTACTTAGACTATTTGCATAGATTACGAAAAGTGTATCACCATGGAGTAGACTATAAGATGGGTTTGGCATGCCTGTGGTTTAATTTTGATATATGCACTCCTATTCTATTCCTGTTACAGGAGTTTAAGAGAGAGACAAGGTTTACATCTAAATGCGCTGCTAGTGAGATAATCAATAAGATTGAAGAAGCTGCAAAGCCTCTTGGTTTTGATGTTCACAAGAAAAACTACAAGGTGAACAAATGGCATATAATTATTTTTGAATGATTCATTAGAAATAGGGCTTGAGGCAACTTACTCGATCTTTATTTGAAACATGGGCCATTTCTCTTACTCAGATGAGGCTCGAAAACATGAAAGCTGGGAGAAAGGGAAATCTTAATGTGGCAACGGAGGTACATGAAAGTGAAACTTAGTTTGACTAATGAGTTGAGTTGGTTTTGCTGTACAATTTGCATATTCATTTTCACATTTTCTTATATGTCAAGCAGATTTTTCAAGTGGCACCATCTCTTCATATGGTTGAGGTGCGAAAAGCAAAAGGGGACACTTTAGAATTTCATAAGGTATCTTTTTCTTCTCCTTTCCTTTTGTTGGTACCTCCTCATACCCATACTCCATTCTATTTAACTTTTGAAACTTGTATTCAAGTTATGTCACCCCCTTTTATAACTGAATGGTAGATAGTGGTGTACTAATTTTCTTACAGTAATAGGATATTGTTTCTGGCATCATAAATTGGTGTTGCCTTCCTTTGTTGTCAAACGAGGTATAAATTGGCAACTAGAACTTTTGGTAAACTAGAAAATCAAGAGTGAAAATTTGAATTTAGGTTTTTATCAATCTAAAAAAAGCTCTATGAAACTAAAAGATAAAAATCAAAGTAGAAAGCAATAAGAAAATATTCCAATGTTTCTGAATGTTGGCTTTGGTGCTGCAGTTTTATAAAAACCTCTCGACCTGCCTTGAGGATGTTGTGTGGAAAACTGATGAGGACATGCAAGACGCAAACTGAAAAAGGTCATGTTTTACTCGTCAAAGAAACAAGCACTCTTTTAAGTTCAATTACCGTAGTTTTGTACCCACGCCAAGTTGCTCGGTGTTCAGTTCTTGTTCTATATCTTAATTCTTTTCGCCCCTCACGATTTCTTTCCTCGCGGGAAGCATGGATGATTGCCACAAAGGTGCAGTTGTTTGTTTTTGTCCCTCAACTGTGGCTTCCAAATAATGTTGTAATGCATAATCTTAGGGACCCAGGGACTTGTATATATACGCGCATATTTCATTTCTTTCACAGGTAGATCTGCTGTAATAGTTTGTTAGATGAAGTCTCTAAGTAGTTTCTCGTGCCTTTCCTCCCTAAGGATGCATGATGTTTTCAGGGTCAAGTGTACATTTTCGTGTCAGGCTATGGCAGTGCAAATCCATCCTCAGTGATTTTGTTGGTAAGGGATCCTGCTAGTTAGACGCATGGAAAAGTGAATGTATCAGCAAGGAGGTTGTGCTTTTATATATATATATGTTGTAATGTTTAGACAATTATATTGCAAGGATCGTATTAGATATATGAGATGGATATATGACATTATCTAAGTTCATTATGTGCATGTTTTCTTCTCAGTTAATATAAATCTTGAGTAATATGACAGGATTTTAGTTTTAACATGTTCATAGCTTTTCGGTTAAAAGGAAATTTATGAGACCAAAGGTTTTTAGATTTAAAGTTTGGATTATATTAGCTATCAACTTATTATAAACAATTCTGTGACATCAAAATTTAACTTATTATAGTTGGTTGATAATATAGCTTTTCTTTCTTTGTTATGATATCTTTTTAGAATAATCTGTGTCTACATTCTTTATAAAACATCTGCATGTCTATATTAATTGATTAATTCATGGGCTCACTTGGACTATTTTTGTCAACTAGTGCTTTTTTCCTTTGTGCTTATATAATTTACTTACATGGGAATGAGGGAGTTGTAATTAAATTGTAGTTAGTTGGCAATAAACTGTTAGTTGCCTGAGGTTATAATCGTTAATAACCGAACATACAATGTTTGTTAATGGGATTTTTAAGATCGTAGTGATTAAATTAAATTAAGTTTTAACGAATTCACGTGTTAGTGGAATTTTAAGAATTGTAGTGATTAAGTTAAACTAAGTTTTAATGAATTCATTGTCTTTTAGTTAATAAAAAAAAATTGTCTTAATTAGAATAGTAATAGTGGATTAAAAACATAAAAATAATATGCAAATATACGAAGAATTCTCATGATCAAATCTAAGAAATATAAAATAAGAACTGAATATCGAGTAATTTGGTGTGGTTACGTAATCTATCGAACTAAAATAGTGCTTGTTTCTTTTTGACTAGTAAAACGTGACCTTTTTCAGTTTGCTTCTGCATGCCTTCCTCAGTTTTTTCGAACAACATCCTCAAGGTAGGTCAAGAGGTTCTATAAAACTCCAGCACCAAAACCGACATCCAGAAATTCAAATTTCATAATGCTTACTACTTTGATTTTATCTTTTTGTTTCGCAGAATTTTTTCGAATTGATAAAAAATTGATAAGTTTTGTGGATAAAAATATAACGATAATACGTAAATATACAACGTATTCTCGTAATCAAATCTTATAAAATATGACACTCTCGGATTTATGCGAATTAGAGTATTAAATGAAGGTCTCAACTGTGCACCAACCCTTGCATTAGTTTTTGTTAATAGCAGCAAAATGTTTGGGTGGTGTGGTGAAGGTGAAGAGAAAGGGAGAGGTGAAAATTATGTACTGTGATGATTGATTGTGATACATCTGGAGATTGTGTAAAAAATGAAAATTTATTTAATTCTTGCGCTTTGGTCTTTGAAGAAGGTATTATATCTCCCGATGTTTGATATAATATCTAAAAATATACGAAAAGATTATTTTTATATTAAATTGTAAAATTTATTTTTATTTTTGTTCATTTATATTGTAATTGTTAAAATTTAATAATTTTTTTAAAAAAATTACGAATTCAAATTTCACTAACAATATATAATTCGTCATTTTGTAAGTATAATATACACTAATTGAAACTAACTCATAATACTTTATTTAAAAAAATTTAACACTTAATTTATTAATAATGTTAGTAAGATTATAACGATTAAATTAAATTTCATCTTAATTAACTATTGTAATTTTAGCAGAAAAAATATTCTGTAACGAATAAATTCTCTTATTTGAAATAACCATGAGTTAATACCGAACCTGATTTCATTCGCTATAAAAAAAAAAAAAAAAACCATCACAATATACTAAATCACACTGCTAAAAATTTCTTTAAAGAGGTCAAAAGGAAATTTTATAAATACAATTGTTGTTTTCAGTTCAATACCCATTCAATTCCCAAGTTTATTTTTACGTGATAGTGGGTC